ACAGTTGTAGAATTTTGTGACAGAAGAGGTGGGAAGGGAGATCACAAGGTATTTTCTTAAATATTTAAAAGTTTTGCTTTGATACGTGCCCGAGATCAAATTTTTTGTCACATGCAACACTGCAGCTCAGTACGTAACCATCTGAGAAATGCACTAAGCTGACACTTGAAATACAGGAAAATGCATCCAAAAATCCCTCTAAAAATTATACAGCAAATATTAGGAGGTTTTCCTCTCTTCTCTGCAACATCAAGCAATTCAATTTAAGGATTGGGAATTCAACCTCAAAGCCGTATTACTGCTCTGAACTAAAACACTGACAGAGGCACCTAAGTTTAGGTATCTAACCACCTATAGCCTCAGGAGTACAGTGCTTAGCCTGCCTCCAGCACTTCAAAAAACCTGACTATCCATAGGACACTGCAGAGAGTCGTAGGCACCTATATAAGCAAAACCCTGAGTGGCTAGCAAGCAGATTCACACTCTGGTCACTGCCCATACTGCATGCCTCTACTGAACAATGCAATCGCAGCTCAGGTACACAGTGCACCTTTCAACACTGTCTTAACACAGAGCTGAAGTCTTCCCCTAATTATATGCAAGTTTCCTAGCAAAAAGCTTCACTGTAAAAGATAAAGGTAAACGCTGAATGAAACACATTCTTTTTTATATCATTGTTTTACAATTTTAACAGCACTACCATATGGATTAATACCTACTTGTAAAATAGCAATACGTAAAAATACCCCTAGGTGGCAGAAAAATTAGAAAGTCAGAAAAATCAAGTACCCACAAATTTGCATACACTGGTATTTAAATATATATTGTTATTACATATATGTAAAACCACAATTATGATAAAAATTTACTCACTCTGTCAGGAATGTTCACGTAAGTTCCAGCATCAAGAAGATCCTGCACAATTTCAGTATGCCCCTCCTTTGATGCAATCATCAAAGCTGTATTTCCATCTTTATCTGTTAAGTTTACATTTGGGTTCCTTTTCAGTATTTCTTTTACTGAGTCAGTATAGCCACCCTTCACTGCTACAATAAGTGCAGTCATAGAATTCTTTAAACAAAACCAAGAGATTTTATTGTACAGTGGATATAGCACGCATCGTGATGTCAGCAGTTTAAATAACAAAAGAACACTCACTGACATTACTTTCTTAATCATCCAAATGTTACCTCAGTTTTATGTTTTAAAGTGCACTTGCTATGTTTTTAAAAAAAAAAGAAAAAAGAAATCAACTAAGTTCTACAGTAGAGAACACTTCAAATGCAAACAGTAAAGCTGAGATCAGTTTAACTCCTGAACGTCACATGCATGACAAAATAATTTTCTTGTCATATGGGAATGTAGTATTATCTGAGCACTCAGGTCTGCCAATACCGCTCTCAAGGAGGACTTCTGAAGAACTTCAGAAATAATCATATGAATACCAAAAGTTGTCCTAATTTCCACTTAAATGCTTGCCAAAATAGGGAAGAAAAAAAAAAAAAATCAGTAAAAGTTGTGTGTCTTACACAACAAAAAATTAAAATCTGTTTAATTTAAAAACAATATGCATCTGAAACCTAAAAATTTCCAACTTTTGAAAAGGCACAATAGCCATTATTATTTTCAAAAGATGCCTTGTGTTTGATTTACTTTTCAAACAGCAGTGCAGAATAAGTTGTTTGACATATCAGGCTTGAGTATAGATTGAATTTTGATAGTGTTAACCTTCAGAGAACAATAAACAAAATTAATTTATGTTCATTAAAACTTACACTTTACAGAATAGCATGTCAACTGTTGATCTTACTCCCTAGTTACCTAATACTTCTATTAAAAGGCACAAAGAAGTTTCAATAATCCTCACATGTAGTTTGCAGATAGCTGGAAAGTAATATGCTCCAATAACAACATTTCATCTTGTTTCATGTATTTCTTGCTATTTGCATTATAAAATAAAAGGAGGACACACAGACGTATGTACCCACACCTTATCACCGGAAAACGAAGTTACTTACAGCTCCTTCTTGATCAACATCAGCTCCCATTTGCAGCAAGTATTTCACACACTCCAAATGACCTTTCCTCGCTGCCCAAACCAGTGGGGTGGTTCCATACTGCAAAAACATTTATAACATTTTATCATAGTGCTCACTGTATTTAATATCTCCTACAATCTAATATTCATCTTAAATTTTATTGCTTTAGTTTTTACAAAGACATAATTTGGTCTAGTGAATTAACATAGGCATTTAAAAACCCATTTTAACTTTTTCTTTGTAGATGATAGCTGTAAGAATTATTTTTCTATGCAGCCTAGGATAGCAAGGTCTCCGATAGCTTAAAAAATAGAAATATGCTCCACTGAAATAGTCATCTTTAGTATACTATGAAAAAACCTCTTGCAAGTATAATGACTTACTCTAGCACACGAATTCTAATCTTACGGGCAAAACATAACAGGAGGTGTTTTTCCAATTAAAGACTCGTATTTTTAAAATTTTTTTAATAAAACTTACAAGAAATGTATCATGCATTAAAATATTATATAAATATAACTTACTTTGTCAGAACAGTTCACTTTAGCCCCATACTGCAGTAAGAGATGTACTATGTCTGAGTGGCCTCGTCCTGCTGCCCAAATAATTGGATAAACACTGTATTGCTTAGAATTAAAAAAAAACAACAAACCACACCATGAAATAAAACCAGTCTTAATTATTTTTTCATGAACAATACTGATCACAATGGTCCCAGAGATGATAAACAGACAGAAAGGGGAAATATACAGAAATAAATCTAACTACATGTCAGTAACTGTTGCCCAGTACATTGTCTAGATGATGTCTAGGAAAATGTCTACCATTTTCAATCAATTTTGTTTTATAACTCCTTAAACAAGGTTTAAAAATTCCCATCCTTATCTTAACACACACATTTGTAACATAAGAGAGAAGCAACAGACAGCTAAGCAATAGCCCTAAGTAATCAGGACAGCAGATCAGTCACATCACACACGCAGAAGCTGCGTATGCAGACCAGATGAAACCCACAATCAGAAAGGGAAGTCACTAGTGTTCTGTGATTGTTGACTGTCGCCTCAAACACCACAGACCTCACAGTATAAACAAATAGCTCATTCAAATTGCAACGTGCCTATGCTTTATAGAAAATGCCTATAAAACGAAATAAACCTCAGTATCTTAGTTTTTAATTCTCTCTCATATCTATAATACATATTTATACAATCTAATTCAGTTGGTAACTATTACAAAACAATTAAACCGTATTATTGCTTCCAAATTGCACACAGTTACTCCATTAACTTATACAGACAGAAAAATGACAACTGTTACACAAGTAACATTAGATACACTATCTTTTCTATTATTTCCTCTCCAGCTAATTTATATCCTATTAAGAGCTATATATTCAATTGTTTTAACTAAAAAAAACCCCTTAAAATTAATAAAAAACACTGGTTGTCAGATTCTTAAAGCAATCCCTTTATTAATAAAGTACAATGATTAATATTATATTGCAAAAAATGCAAAACATTCAATCAAGATACTAAAATTAGTGTACAATTCAGGACTTTAAACGTTTGGGAGGAGGAGGGGTTTAAGACTAAAACTTACCATTCCGGTGATGTTTGGATTTGCTCCTTTCTCAAGCAGCAGTTTAGCTACTTCGGTACGGCCTTTATATGATGCCCACATCAGGGCAGTCCATCCTCCCTGGCAAGCACAATTCAAAGAAATGTAAAAACCAAAAAATACTCTTTAGAAACCTAACAGTGACTTTAATTTTGTATTTGTCCTAAGACTGTTTTGCAAGTCCAAAACATAACAAGGGCTGACCGTACAACCTTGTAATCATATTTATCTAATAAGCACACATGTGAAAATACTAATTTCCTGATTGGGAGAATATCGTGTCCTAAACATTTCTGAATTTGCAGTAAATGCACAATTCAGACTTCAAGTGCATACAAATCCCATCACTGGGTAAACAATCCAAAAGGAAAGCACTATCTTATAACAAAAGTCTAGAAATCAAATCAGTTAACTTGAAGGGTTTATTTTTTATTTGTGCAACAGACACGTGGCCTTCATAAAGTAACTATGTAATGATTTGCTTCTTCAAGAAAAAGCAGCAAATCATATGTCCTCTTAAGGGATTACTAAGAGCAATTAACTTTAAATGAACACACCGATGGAGTTTGAAGTTTGTAATCTAGTAGACAATGAGCTTTCACGATCTAAGGCATTCGATCGGTCAGGTAACCAAAATTAATTTTAAAATAACAGTATGCCTCTGATAACTAAAAGTACAATTTTTATGCATATCTTTACAATACACTTTTAGGGATGTAAAAGATCCCTCGCAGACTGACACAAGCCCAGAAATCAATCACTGTCCATGTGGATGTGCTCATCATTACACTGTTACAAAAAAAGCTAGGACATGGCACGATGCTTCAGCCTTCAGACAGAGCGGAACTTCAATTAAGGAAGCTCTTGAACTCTCCCCAGTGGTTTTCCATAGTCTAACTTAGGCAGAACAAAATCAGTCCTTGCAGGTACCTAATTCTCTCTTCAGTCAATGAAGACAAGTCTGTAGCTCTTCAGAAGCATCTAACCTTCTTCATTAATCATGCAAGCAACTTCTGTAATTCTTTAGGTGGACTGAACTATAGTGCCCACTTTCCATATAAAAAATTTGGCAAGATGAATGAAAACAAATTCCAGGATTTTGAGAACAAGGACTGCTATGTGAATAATTATGGTTGTACAGAGAAAAAGTAAATATGGACAGTTATCTTCTGGAAAAAGATAACATTTATTTTACCAGAATACTTTAAAAAAAAACCACCACCACAAGGAAAAAAGAAAACCAACTCCCCCTCCCCACAAAAAAACATCCACACAAAACACACCCAAAAATCAAACTGTTCTTCAGTTTAGCTTTTTTCCAAAGCAAATTAAGAGGAAAAAAGCAGCCCTAGGAAACAAGTTGCCTTTATTAACACTAAAGCAACTATTTTACAGCCGTAAATAAAATATTTAAATATCTCTTATTTTCCATTTTAACATCACTGAGTACATAATTTAAGAATTAAAAAAACCCAAACTTTGATTTGTTTTACAGAACTGAAAATCTCCAGCTCCCAATAGGACTATACATACCAAATCCCGATGCTCCAAACTGACATTATAATTGAGTAGCTCTGCTACAATAGCTGCATGTCCTTCTTTAGCTGCTGAAATAAGCGCTGTCCAGTTATCCTAGAAAAAGGGAAAAAAATCATTTTAAGTGATATTCAGTATTTCAATACAATTACCTTGTTTTTCAACTGTTGAACCCATAATAGGAAATCCACAACTCCTTAAAAAATTTGTCCTTTAAAAAAGAAAAATAAACTCATAGACTGCAAGTTCTACACATGAAAATACAGATGGACACTACTCAATATCTCCCCTCCAGTTATCTCCTCTCCTGCCCAATATCCATCACTCTCCACTCCTCAGTTCACTGCAGGTTAACTTCTTAAAAACTTTTTGGAGGAAACACCACCTACAAAGGATTAGAGAATGAGGTGAAGACTCTGAGAACTGCTGTGTCAGGTCAAGATGGCAACCAAGACCGCAGAAAACGGTGATGATCTAGCAAGGGGCTAATATACAGGGGAATTTGGACCTCAGCTTCTTAGATTTATGTTCACTTCAGAAGACACATTTCCTCTTGCACTACACTTACCCATCCACTGCTCAAACCATGTCCAGGTGTGGACTGCTGTTTTATGTGCTATATATATATAGCAACAGTTTATATGGTAACTGTTCTTCCTATAAGTATAGGAACCATAACATTTATAGCAGATGTAATAAGATGTCTCCAAAAATAGAGATACTTGTTTTCTTCCCCGAAAAGAAGTGTGTGTTTTTCTTCCCCGCCCCCCCCCCTTTTTTAAATGACGGGTTTCATACCAGACCTTTCCTGGATGTCTACACTGCTACAATTAAACTAAGTGCAGAAAAAACCACAAGCAACCTGTTTATCACTCTTCATTGGAATATACAGACCTTTTAAAACTGTTTAAGAACACTTCTGTCCTATTCACCCTTTCTGGGCATCTTTTACCTAGAGTCAACTTTTTTTGTAAAGCAGCAAGACTATTCATAAATCTGAAACCCTTCTCTGTTCTGGCTTTCACCTGAAATAATCCTTTAACCTAAATTCTCTCTCAGTAGTTATTGAAAAACACCAAAATCAAAGAACAACAAAAAAAAAAAAATCCTGACATACCACATCACTTGGACCCGTCTTTGATGCTGTATTTCTCTATTCCGCCTATCTTTTTATGTCAACTACTGCCAATCCTATTGATATAGTTTCCTAGTACTAACTTCCCAGAAGAAACAGCAGCAGCATTCAGCAGAGACTCTCAGACATTTAAAACATCTTAAATATCCCTATTCTTTATGAGGAATTGAATCAGAAGAATACAGAGCCAAGCAATTTTGGATAAAATTTCTTTATATGTCATCATTTTCCATCTTCTTTTTATTCCCCCTCCCCTCAACACTCACCTAAATACCTTTTCTCTGCCTGCCTCTTGAAATTTCTTCTTCCTCTATTGTTAGGTACCATCACACGTAAAGCACTAATACTTACTGCATCTTCCAAGTTGCAATTAGCTCCCTTCTTGAGAAGCTCCTGGACAATTTCTAAATTGCCTTGCTCAGCAGCCAACATGAGTGGAGTCTGGCCATTCTGAAATTAAAATGATAGGAAAAGTGATGCATTGGGAAGTGATGCAAATGACACAGATACACCAACAATAACAGGCCAAAAACTACGGGGGAATGGTAAGTTGTTTCCAGTTTTTAATTGCCAGTGGGAAGCAGCAAGGAGGATTGGTTTTCAAACCACGCAGTAAACTTGAAATAAAAATGGAGAACATGATATTAAGCCCTGTCCCATAAAAGATAAAAAAAACCCCAACAAACCAAACAACCCCACACACACATTTCCGGTATTAAAAATGGCTACAAAAAAGTTACATTGTTAAATATCTAGCTTTCTGAATGATTTACCCACTGAAGACATCTCTAATACAGCCTGTTACATCTTGAAGTAACTCAGTCACATTGTTTAGAAATGAATAAATAAATCTAGCCTAGGAACCACAATGGCAATTAAAATGCCGCACTGATTAAGAGTAACAGTAAGATTTCTGGCTGAAGTTGGGGGGGGGGGATAATATACCACACTTTTATCTGACAGTACACCAAATACAGACATCATTCCTGTTCTGTCCAACACAGGTTCTTAACAGGCAGCCTCACTGCAGAGAAGACAAAAGATAGAAGAGCTGGTTTATTTGCCTTCAAGGATGTTTTAAAAATCAGTTACAATCTGTCACCCATGAGCCTATTTCTGCATCAGCAAAGTTCTCAGATACAAATGCTCTGCATGATGAAAAGTAAAACTTTCTAAATTTGACAGTAAATTTGTTAATTTCAACAAGTTTAATAAACAAAGATAATTTTTCCTGACCCCTCTTCTGTCTTTTCTCTGTACCATACAGAAATTCCAAATTATCTAGTCTATAAAGAATGCAAAAGCTACATGTTAGGAGTAATATGCCAGCAATTTCCCTGAAAAGAGTAAAAATCAAAGCAAAATCAGAATACAGTAAGATCATTAATCTTCATTAGTAAAACAGTTAATGGTAATATTAATATCTGTTGAGTTCTTTCTGCTCTTTATGTACACACACACACCAAAAAAAAATAAATTCCACTGATTCTTTCAAAAAAGCTTTCTGTTCCATCAGCTATTCCCTAACTAGTCTTCACAGAATCTTCCCCATGACATGAGGGATAACCCACAGTATTACTCGTGACAGGATATAATGTATTATATAATTGCAATTTTTTACCTGGAGAAATTATCCTCTTGTATTAGCTTATGTTGTTATAAGTATACATTGTATACATTCAAAATGATACCTTCCCTTTTAGCTCCTAAAGTATACTTTGTATCAACAAGTAGTAGCATTTAGGCCTAGTCATGAAAAAAAATGCTCAAAAAAATCAAGAAAGAAAGAAAATACTACTCTCTGGAAGAAAGCAGCTCTCTTCAGGGCAAAGAAGAGTCATAACTTTTGTTCTTTAAGACGAGTCCTTTATACACAAGTTAATATTTTGGGAATACACATGCCAAGTGATTGCAGAAATCATTCCTGATCAATGTGATTGCCTTCTGTGATGACATCATTGGCTCAGTGGATGAAGAGCTGAGACATTGTTTATCCCATCTCTAGGAAGGATTTAGACACTGTCTCCCACAACATCCACACAGACAAACTGATGAAGTACAGATTAGATAAACGGAGAGTGAGGTGGACTGAAACTGGCTGAACTGCTGGGCTCACAGTGCTGTGATCAGTGGCACAACATCTAGCTGGAGGCCAATCCACAGGGGTCAATGCTGGGGTCCTGTTCAACTGCTTCATTAAGGACCTGGGCAATGGGACAGAGTGCACCCTCAGCAACTTTGCAGCTGACAGAAAGCTAGGATTGGCTGATGCACCAGACGCTTGTGCTGCCATCCAGAGGGACCTTTACAGGCCGGAGAAATGGGCAGACAAGAACCTTATTGCACTGAATGTAGGGGTGTTGGTATCCAGGGAGCTGCATGCGGTCTCTGAAGAGAGGCCAGGACTGCCCCGTGCCAGCCAGCCAATTCCAGCTGGCTCCAACAAACCCACCTGAGGATACAGGACTAAATCTCCAGAGGTCCCTTCCAAACAGTGCTCTAGAAATACATACAAAAATGCCTATTTTAGCATGAGCATTCTTCTTACCTCCTTCTGAACAGCCACCATTCTTATCATTGTGATCATCTTCCACAGGTGCATAACATAAAAAGATAACACAAAGTATCTCTGGGCAAGAGGAGGTTCTGGATGGGAAAATGATCCCCTCCTATAAGAAGTGTCATACAGTTGTAGACTGGCTCTGGTATTCTTAGAGAGATGTAAAACTTTTCTATAGGGGTACTCAAACAATCCTGCCCTTTTTGCTAGGAGATTCTCAAATACAGGTTCAATGTCTTAACAAATCATGAAGATTTCACCAACACAGAAACAAAAGATAATTACTGTGCCTGTGACATCCAGATTAACTCTCAAAAGTTGTCCAAGAGTCTAGACATTCCACAACCACTAAATGTTCGTATTTCTCACAAGCACATCAAGTACTGTATATCTGTACATCACTGCAAAGTCTAAGTATTGGAATATGCAAATTATAAAGGGGCACACCTATACCTTTTTAGGGAAATCATTCAGTGGTGTTCTTACAGATTAGCTCTCACGCGGTCCATGAGAGAACAGAAGATTCAGAATTGAAGATGCAAAAGGCACTTCAGTATCAAGAGCAGAAAGAAAGGCACATCAAAGGAAATTGGAGGCTGTTACCATCAAAGTATATCACACAAGTCAAGCATCTATCATTAGCTGTTAAGTAATCAATGTATCTGGTATGAGAGAGAAGAATGTGCACAGGGGAAAGGACATGCAGAGAAATGGCAGAGAAACAAACTCGCTCCACTTAACTGAAACTGCTGGAGTTAATCCAACAAATCCATCTGACCTGGAATATCAGTTTTTCCAGGAACTGATCACAGTTAAGATATAAAGGGTTGGCAATAACGTTGAGTGATCCTACCATTGGACAAGTCACTGCAGCCTGGGAGGTCCTGGCACGAGCAAACCTTGGCTTGCCAGCAATCTTTTTAGACCTACTCCGCTGAAACTACGTTAATAGTTACAGTAAGGCTAAATTCTGTACATTGTTTTCACATTTGCATGATGCTTTCTGGCTTTGAGTAATATATCCCAAAAATATTCCTTCCATCTTATACAGGTTTAAGCAAATAATGCAACAAAACATGCATTTTACAAGACTTATTTAAAAAACTAATAATTGGAAGTCAGTCTTCCATACACTACAAGGTGAGTAAAACATTGCTTGGACTGTCAGACTCAATGGTAATGGTCAACTGTTCACAGTAACTGGTGCCCAGTTGAGAAGGTTTGATTTGGGGCTAACATTGTACCATCTTCATCAACACCCAGAACCATGAAACAGAAAGTGCTCTCAGCAGGTTTGCAGACTGCCCCAAGCTAGGGAAAGCAGTTGACATGCCAGAGGACAGGGATGGTGTTCAGAGAGGGTTCAACAGGCTGAAGAAATGGGCTGAGAACCCTCCCACAGTTCAACAAAGGCAAATGGAGAGATTGGAATGGACCAACCCCATGCAACAGCACTGGCTAGGGACTGCCTGCCCAGGGAGCCACACAGTAGAAACAGTACAAAGTCCTGATCGACAAGAGGGCCATGAGTTAGCAGTGCGCCCCTGCAGCAACAAAGGCAAACCAAATAATGGGCTGCATTAGTAAGAGTACAGCTAGCCCTCTTAACACCAGTGAGGCTGAATCCAGAATATGGTGCCCCATTTTGGGCTCCCAATAGAGTCCCAACAACACATAGATCAACAAACTGCAGAGTCCAGCAACAAGGCCACTCAGATGGTTACAAGACTGGAATGTAAGACATGCAAGCAAAAACTGTTCAGCCTGGAAAACAGAATAGTAAGGGGAAAATCAACATTAGTCTTAAAACTACCTAGAGGTAAGGTGAATCTTAGAAGACAAAGGCAGATTGTTCTCAGAAATTCACAACAAAAAAGACAAGAATCAACAGTCACAAGATGCAGCAAAGGATATTCCAATAAAATGCAAGGAAAATGTTTTTAAACAAAGAGTGGTTAAGCACTGGAGCATTGCCCTGAGAGGCTGCAGGTTCTCCATTCTTGAAGACTTTCAAATTTTGCTTAGGTAAGTCCCTAAGCAACTTGATGTAACTCTGAAGTTAGCCCTGCATTTAGGAGGAGGTTGAAACCAATGAACTCCAGAGAAAAAGTCAGGGTAGAAGGGACCACTGAATATAAGTCAACACAGTTCCAGTTCTACAACACTGTTCAGGAAATCAGAACTAAAACAAAAATTGATGATACAAGCTCTACATCCAGATGAAAGAAAAATCCAGATGCTTACAAATCAGAAAATCTATTACAGAAGGTGAAATAAATGAGTCAAATCATCCACGCTTATTTGTAAAATATATAAAAACATAATAGTGCATCAAGATAACCTGAATTTTAAGCATCGTGCAAAACAATGTAATCACCAACAACAAGCATGAAATGAACCTCTCCAGAAACTCTGGGGAAGCTTTAGTGCAGTATAATGAAACCACAGCACATTTGCTTAAATTGCTGGTGGTGATATGCTCAAATCAGATTAAATCAAATGACAAAGCAGCACCTAACGACTATCGTACTATCCGAGGATTCAGAATAATTCATATTTCAGGTCCCTACTGTGTATCAAGACTTCCTGTGTCATCCTGGTCAAGTCATTTAATCCTCCTGATTACATCCAGACTTACCTTTTGGACACATGTCTTTTCACCCAGATGAGCATCTGCTCAGAGTAAATTACAAAATATGCTCCAATTTGAATCCTATAAAAGTTTCTCTTGCCTGGAAACCAGGATGTTATCATCCCAGGTTTCACCACCAAATGAAAAGGGCAAGAATGCAGACACAGCTGGATCTGTGAACTAAGAAACAATTCCTAGCTGCAGAAATACAAGTATAATCTCCATCCACAAAGTAAGAATGGAGCCACATTTTCCAGCTCAGAAGAACACCCAGAAAACAAATACAACGAAAGACACTGAGGTGCTCAGAGAGACTGGATACTGTGTGCTTAGTCTGTGCAAAGGTAAGCAATCAGTTGAAAATAAAACAAAAATTCATATATTAAATAACCAGTGTGATCTCACCAATTATTACTTCTATAACTAACAAGCTGCAATATGAAACTGACCTTTCCAAAAGTCATCTTACCTCATTTCTCTCATCTACATCCCTGCATTTCTCAAGAAGCGCTTTCAGAGCAGGAACATTTCCTTCTTCTACGTAGGTCAACAGACTCTGACTCATCAGACTTGCCATCTTCGCACAGTATTTAAAAAGCTCCTACGACAAAGCTTATCTGTATTTTAGAAAAGAAAAAAAAAAGGCAAAGCATAAGTAAAGGCTGTAAGAGTTAACTTTAGCATTAGAAAGCATGACTTCTACATGCCAGTAAGTTATCGGTTAGGTACAAGTATCTGCTGTTCTTCTCAACAAAACGCCGTGGAGACATGTGCACTGAAATGTACTACACTTCAATGAAAAGTCAATTGCTTAATCTTTCTAGTTCTTAGAAAATTACAGAAATTATTTTAACTTTTAGTTAGTGTCTAAATATTTATTTTGAATGGAATGCATAATAGTCTTTCATTTGCATATTTTGTCTCCGTATATAACATTATGGGAATACCTGTATATGTTACATACATATAAACTTTATGTATGCTAGTTATTTACAATATAACCCTTTTCCTCTATGCACATAAGCAGAACATTGAGACTATTCAGTGTTACAAAATACAGTGATAATATCTAAATTGCAGCCATATGGAACTCTGAGAAACACCATTTATTAAATCAGTCATCGTCAACTTTATCCAGACATGCCTGAATGTGATGGCACATTGTTAACTCGCTAGTCAAACTTAACATAGCTTCTGTTGTCTGATTACGTTTTTAACCTCTAATATGCAAGACAGGAGAAGTTGTTCTTGATTAAGGCAGACCATTAGGAATTATTTAAGACTTCCTAAGAAGCTGTGAGCTAGTAAGTTCAGTAAACCAGTAGTATCGCTGCACCAAATTTATATGCATACGGATTCAGAAGCTGAATTATTCATTGCATCTAAATTCAGTTTCACTGGATGCAGAAAAAGTCTTGGGGCTAAACACAAGACACCACCCACTCCCCACCACCTTTCTCCTCACTAGCAGATGACGATTGCTCTTTTTCTGGATTTTTCTTGCATGATAGCAGTGTAACAGCAGAAGAAAAACTGCAGTTCAGTGTTAGCTAAACCCTGCTGGTGAGGCTATTCTCTACCAGGCAGAACCCATAGTCCAGTGGCTTTCCCAGGCAAATGCTCTAACTTTTATTCTCACATAAAAGCAGCCAGTGAATTTCTCTGCACTCCCGTCTGAAGTGGAACATTAGCCAAAAAGAGATTAAAGCCAGCAGGAACATCACTATGCTTAGCACGGAGAAGTTTGATTTAAATCTCTAAATCAAAACTAACAATCTAGCTCTGCTTTAAATTGCTTGCACAGACTGTAACACTATCACACCACCATTTCTCCTTTAGCAAGAGAAATATACAGACAAACACACTGTTGTCAGGATATATTAGATATAACCCGAGCTCACATATAGCACCACAGTCATCACAGGACCTATGTAGAGAAACACCTCGTTCATAAAACTTCCAGCAAAGAAGCCAACACACCCAGTTCAGTTAAGATGACAGCAGCTCTGGGTACATGTAGGAGTACTTGAGGCACACATGAACATCTAATGACAAAAGAAACTATGAACTACATATATTTTAGGTATGTAAACAGAAGAACACAAGAGGGAGAAGAGAGAAAAAGGAGGGACTGTGACTCTCACTGTTAAATTTGGGCTTAAAATCCAGGTTGCAGTTTAAGGGATAAAATCCACAGAGGATTTAGGCATCTGAACTCTTCATACTCCAAATGTCCACGTACCATGTAAAAATACACAAATCAAATAATTTCATTCAGACATTACTTAAAATCCAGACCTAAAATCAGTTTAAAAAAAAAAAAAGATTTTACATACAAAGCCCAGTAACAGTTTGACTAGGGACTGCACAAATAGCCAGTCTCTCCCACAGGAAAGTTATAAATAAACTAAGAACACAAAAGGTCTACACATTTTCTGTACAGTTAAAGTACCATCATGCAAAGGGAGGTGAGCAGTACAACAGTGGTGTCATATAACTGTCTTCATTTTCTTCAGTAGGAGGAAGAGCTAATTGAGAGGTTGCAAACTTAAAAAAAACCTAAACCGCAAAAATGAAAAGTTGAAAAGAAACAGTGATGGTAGTGACCCAGTGCCCACACATAGGCTCCTACTGCCATTTCAGATACAAAAATACCAGAAAAGTCAGCATCTTGCCTGGCATCCAGCTGCCAGTCCACAACAGCACACCTCCCTTACAGCCTGCGTCAGTATCTTACAGCCCCATACAGGTGTCTCGGATAGTCTTGGACACCTAAAATTACATTAGATATTCCCATGTGGGCACCTGAATTCCTCCTGTCAGTTTTTACATATGCCGACAGAAATTCATGAAATGTGACTTGCTGCTAGCTCCACTGCTACCACTGACATGGTCGGATTTCCCGTGCAGCATCCCAGCTTCTCTCCCGTAGCTGTACCTTTAAATCCCCATGCTATTTTCCATACCAAATACTAAATTGAAAACTATATTAAAAACCATCAGCAAAACATGACTAGAACGTCTCACCAAGTGAATTATACTCTGTAGTTGCTATCAAAATTTTACCAATTAACACTTAGCTAGCACGAAAAGGAAAAAAGTATTCAGCGTTGCTTCTTCCTCAAAGTACGATTTTTCCCTTGATGTTCCCTACTACCGTATTGCAAAAAGGCAAAGGCAGCCCTGCTACGCTGTAGATAAGTATCCTGCTTCAGAAGTCATTCCTTGAGCTCCCAGTTCTAGAAATCATTACTTCAGCTCCCAGTTATCAAGACAGAGCAGCTTCTGCCTTCATGCAGATCTGAATCCTTAGAGGCAACTTAAACCTTTGATTAACAGCAAAATATCTGATGCTAAAGAATACATCTAGAGCTGTGTTTACAAACTCTATATTAATATTACTTTTTTAAAATTATAAAAGCTTTGTAGGGGTGAACCATCTTTGTCACCTACGCTTCACTGTCACATAATATCCCCTTCTTAGAATTAATAACAGTCTATTTTATAAAAACAAGAACAACAAAATCAAATACTATAATTATGAATTTTATACTCTCATGCTTTCATTTGCCACTTTTCAGACAAGCTTCTTAAAGCATCCAAAAGATTACGATCACTGGAGCGCTTTAGGAAAGCACTGTTTAGGGAGTCAGTAACAGAGATTTCCACTTAAAATGCAGGTTAATCTATGTGTTAATATTCTTCTCATCCTTACATAAATTCAGCAAAATAAATAAATAAATAAACCATAAAAAATCCCCCCCAAAACCACACCACTTCCAAAAATCTTAACACCAACTTTTTTTACTTATGTTTGTTGTTGAAGTTTTACTCCCCCCTCCCACCGAACAATAAACATGCCTGAAATTAGGCTGAAGTTCATTCACGATATTTTCACTCATGACAGCAACTCAATCTAAACTGAGCACAGCCATAGTGCATCTGTTTACTACATAAGATTTATGTATTATGTTATGAAAATTATGGACTATGCTCAAAGTCTGTATGTGTGCCAGACACTAAACTGTGATTTCTTTCAATGCTTAAGATTTCTTTTAAATTATCATAAATTACTTGAACCAAGACTCTGAGGTACAGCCTCTGGCTAGGTAAGTTAACTCTATTCTGGGCCCTCCAATGGAAAAAGCTCCTGAAATATATATTCATACACTTTTCAAAACAAACAACCCTACAACAAAAAAAACAAACCCCAAAACCTCAACAGTTTATGCTTTACCAAAATACAGTATTAAGCCCTGCAAAATTTCATAAATCACAGAGGCAAAACCAGTACCATACAAGAGCATCCAATACATATATGGTCCTTAATTGCTCGATTAACAGTATTTATTTTGTTCTATGACACAGTGGAAGTATTTTCACAATCTGTAACAAAACTGACAATTAAAACCATGAGCCCATTTGGAAATTGATCCCCTTTCCAATAAGGATTAACACTGTTATTTTTTTCTCCCACCAAAGCAAGCAGATTCCCAGCCTACAAACGAGTTCTTCATTCACAGTCCAAAATTCCAAGCTTAGAAATCTCACAATGCCCTCAGGTAGCAAATCCTGGTATTCTATAAGACTAACAACACACCAAGAACTATGAAAAGATACGTTAAGAGCGCAAATGCTCAGGTGAAGGTAATGTTTGCACAAGAATTAACCTGTTTCTGTAAGGCGCTCCCATCCTGAGCTGAAGCACGTTATCACTGTTTTGGAAAGACTGCAAAAATCTGCTGATTTACAAAAATTTAGTTTCTCTCAACTGCACCAATATTGACTGCAGAGGTCCTGATAACTCAAATCTGCAAATATTTATTTAATGTACTGGCAGAATCTTGTATCAGTTTCTAACTACATAATAAAATATTACACACTAAATTTTCCAAATATCACCATCTTTTTCATAGCTCTCCCTCATATTGTTTTGAGTGAGCTGTGATCATTTATGAATAAATATCAAAATTGGTTAACAAACACTAGCATTCTTGAGAAGACCTTCTTTTCTTGCTTTGTTTTCAATAGGTAAAGATCGCAGTGACTTAGATAAAATTCATGCTTTTCATGACATGATGAAAAAAATTGTTGCCTTCTTTTTAACGTTTCCTTTTATTTCCAGATACAAAAGCTACCTTCCCAACATGCAATACTGTGGCAGATTTTTCGGTTAACTGTAAAAGGAAATAATTACAGCACTGCTGAAATCTAGGCACGTACAAATCAAGATACAGAAACATGCAGTATTTCGCCCTTAAGAACTGGAAATGCCATCCTTCCAAATCAGAATATAAATAAATGTGGTATACAGAAGAACTGTACATATAAAATTTATTATAAAAGACTAACCTAAGTCAGCTTCATATTCTCACACATTTTTATACTTTATGATGGCATAAAACATGAATAACAAGTTGGAACATCACCTTTATTCATGCTGCAGGGAAGCTTACTAATGCAAGTATTATCCATCCTTTATGACACCTTACTGTAATTACTTGCTCAATGGACATACTTCATAAACATTAAGAGTTCACAAGTCTGGCATCACATGAAGAGGTAAATATTTTTAAC